ATAAAAAACAAAAACGGACAGGAAACAATTAATGGAACGGTGAAATAAAGAGTGGAAGAATAAAAAAATGCCCCGGGGGCGGGCCATCAGCAAGGGAGAGAGGTTCCAGGACGAGGACAAAGTGAGAGATAGCAGAACAGAGGGGTAGAGGACAGAGCGAGGACCCCACAAGCAGCAAAGGAGGAGGAAGGAGGTGATGGTGGAGACGAGAGGAAGAGACAAACCACCAGGGAGGCCGACGGACACAAATGGGCAAGACGGACTGACAGGCGAGTAAAAGAGCTGTACAAGTGAGAAGGGGGGGTGGCATGATCCCAACGGAGACGTTTTGTTTCTCTACCAGTCTGGTTCTGTCAGGCCACCCTTCTCTTCAGCTCTCCATCCCAACACCCCCCCCCCCGGTCCTGTCTGTCTGTCACGTCGCCCTGTCAGCAGATATTGTGTTGTACGGACGTTGTTTGTGTGAGAGGGTCAATAACGTTCTATTTCAACCAGTCAACCTTTTTTACATCCTTCACATTTCAGGGTGGATGGAGAATAAGTGACTTACTCCCCTGCTCTCCGCCTCGCCAAGAGGACACTCGCACCATCATTCTGCTGTCACTTCTTTATTATTTACCAATTCACATCATAAAATCCAGGCATCAAAGGATTAAGAAGCTAGTGTGTAGATTTTTTTTTTTACAGTAGACTACCTTGTGATTTCCTTCCTCCGTCTCCCCTGTGTCCTTCGAGAACCAGCGACTTCCTTAAATATCACTCAGGGTGTTTGTTCCCCTACTTTTTTGAGGTAGGTGAATCAACACATGAAAGTCAGAGAGTTCGTAGCTCTTCAGTGAACTAAATGTTGTTTACCTGCCCCCCCCCCCCCCCCGCGGCTTTCCCTGGGGGTTTTCCGGGGGGCTTAATGGGGGCTGCACGTGTTGGGCCTGTTAAACTCTTTCTATCCCCATTGGACTAGCTATTAAATAACGCTGTAGACCAATGGATTTGACCATTTGTTTGCTATTTCTAACATTGGATAAATTAATTAATTAGCCATTGGTCGGCCCCCTATGCGGCTACATTTAGTCCGCTCAACCGGCTAACGGTGGTTGATTCCCACTGGACAGTCATTTCATGGCCGGATCAGGAAAAGAAAGCGACATCTGGGATTATGACCAATTTTGCATTTTCTTCCTAGAGGCCATATTCACTGAATAATATGATATACAAAATTTAACAACAAGAGAAATATTTCATCGGTCACATTTCATGAAAAATGTGCTCTGTTTCAGTGCGTTTAATTAGCCTGAGCAATCAACAGAGGTCACGATAAATATGTACAGAAGGGTACATCATTCAATTAGATTAGGCGATTTGATTTCAGTAATCTTTGTGGTGTGGCAGCAGAAGTGCATCAGATGTGTGGAGACTATAAATAATAACAGGACAAACCGAAACTATAAGATCACGCACAACTAGAAATAACAACAAAGACCTTTAAACGACAATGATGCAACTTATGGATAAAGATAATTGATCGGGCTTAAGAGGGCCAAGCTGGAAAACTACTTTCCTCCATCCTCCTAGCTATTAAAGGAAAATTTACAGCTGGGAGAGGGTACTTCATTTTCAAATCCTTTAAATAAGGCTTGTAATTATCTGCTTGTGTGTGTGTGTGTGGAGGGAATAGGTCTCTCACGGAAAGATTAATGGTGTGTAACCCCTGGAACACTGCCGCAGCCAAGGTGAGCCTTCTGTTATTGCTACTAAAAGGTATGAGGAAACACCTTGTTTGTGGGGAGGGGGGGGTCCACAGTACGTTACCCCCCCTGCTTCCTCCCATGCAGACCCCATCCACCCGCATCCGCACACTCCAAGCCTGTCTGTACCCCAGACCTGAAATGGCACCAGAAGGTTTTCACAAAAGGTCTCCATGTTCAACCAGAAATTTCACATCGAGGTCATTGTTCCCTGCACAAGCTAACGGTTGCGTAACATGGCGGTAAAGGCTCCACACCGCCCCGCCGCGGAACAGGAAGAGAACATCCTCCATTTCTCCCCTGCTTTTTCTTCTCTACTCCTCTTTTTGCAACAGGAGCAGACATCATAGGGCCAATTCCAATTTCCCCTTCCCCTCCGTTTTGCGCGTTCTCGTGAAGGGGAAGGGTCGTCCCAATTCTCTTTTGGTTGTAGGGGTAGGGGGAAGGACCAGGTAGCCCTTCAAACGAAGATTTTTCAGGACCACACTCCAAACGAAAGGGTACGAGCTACAGATGCAAAATGGCTGCCCAAACAAAAAAGGAGACCCATAAATGTAAGTATTATTGGCATTAATGAGTATTTTAATGACAATGCAACTGCGTGACTGCGTGACTGCAAAGACAGAAGGCATCTTGGAAGTTTGTGATAAACATCGGCGCATCTTCTGAGACATAGGCGCCTAGCGTCGACGTAAAATGACGTGTAACGGAGGTAGGGGTGTCCCATTTCTTAGGGCTATATTTTCACCCCTACGCCTTGCCACTCTGTTTCAAAGGCCAAGCGGTAGGGGAAGGGTTAGGGCTAGGCGAAAGGGGTATAAAATACAATTGGAATTCAGCCATAGTTTCAGGTGAGAAGGTGAGTGTGTGGGAGGGGGGGGGAGGGGTGAAGGGAGGGGGATCCCTCCTTTACTTTGTCCTCCCTCCTTCCTCATCTCTGAGGGATTTTCTCGAACATTTCCCCTTTGCTCCCCCCTCCCCCTCTCTCGTTCCCGTTTTCCATGTAGTTATTTCCATTAGAAAATGGGTCACCTTTCCTTTGTCAGGAGAACGCCTAGGTAAGTATAACCTCTATTTTCGGTGTGTGGAGGATTCTATTGTCTTGGGGGGGGGGTTCTGCACCTTGGAAAAGTAATGTGCAAGGACCATTTTCTGGGCCTCATTAAAGTTTAGTTCTGGGTTGGAATTTCAGGGGTTAGAGTTATGTATATATAGATTGGGGCTACTTCTTCTTCTTGATTTCTAAACACAACTGTGCTCCTATATAGTACCCCGAGGCAGGCTTCACTATAGATGCAATGAAATGCTCAGGATTACCAATGAAAGCAAACATAGAAACTAATAGATGTAAGAGGTAGTACAATCATGTCATGTGTCGTAGAATACATAGTAAACTATTCTTATTAGTATTATATAGATAGATTTGTCAAATTAATTTAATATTTTTCACATTTGTCTCGACCCAAATGCAAAGAGATTAGGGTATTTCTAGTAGAGATCTAAAACTGTATATTGATGAGGAAACAAAAAACCTAAAGAACAAGATCACAGTTCAAGCCGGACTAGCCCACTACTGGAAGTCATTTGACTTGTGGACCAAGAGGGGCTTTGAACCTCCGAGACTTCTGCTACATCTCACTGCCATTTGTAACGGGCAAAGTAAGAAGCTGACAGACCTTGAGTTGTGTGTCGAATGATGTTCACATACTGTACTCGCAGCGGCACGCTCTGTGCACATCGGTACGTGTGCGTGGCTTTTCTCCAGGCCAACTTCCCACCGTTCCAGCCGATAGAAACCCTGAATCTCCTCGTCTCTGGCAGTGTGCGTGCTGGCAGCGTCAGATGCACTTTGAAGGGAGCGCAGCGATGCACTTCAAACGAGATCTCGCACTAGAGGAGACGGGCAAAAAAAAAAAGAGCTTTCGCCCGCATCCTGACGCAGCGCTCTCTGATCCACCCTCTCCGTCTATTGTTCCATCTACCTTTCAGACCAGGTCCCAACTCTCTGCACATCAACGGGAAACAACCGTACGAGCCGCTTCACAAGTACAACTGCTGCTGGGGGCCGCGGGCGAGACGGCGCTTCATGCGCTGATGTCAGGTTCAGACGGCACTAACTCGTGGGAGCAAACGGGCGCCGGGTCCTTAGTGTCACGTGACGCTGTGCGTGTGGTGAGCGGAGAGGCCTCGACTTATAAGAGCATGGGCTGCTCATCAGGTAGCTTTATTTCTAACATTATACTATGGAGACGTATCTCCAAAAAATAAGTAAGATTAATGAAATAAGATTCATTCAGTAGTACAGAAATATTTTGATGAATAAAAACTGCAATAGGGCTTGAAAACCGTTGATTGAGAAAAAGAGAAAGAACAAAGGAAGGAAGATGAGTTTGAAAAGTTTTTAAAAAGTGGTCTTTGACTTTTGTTAAACATACGAATAATATAATAATATGTACACACATGAATTCTGCCATATATGCTGTATATAGACTATAATGCTGTCCCTGCTGGTAGCCAGCACAACGTGCACCCTGCTATTAGGTTCTCTGATGTGCTGTACAAGTACCTATGAAAAAAACCAAATATGTTTAGTTTGACAAACCAGAGCCTTGATGTACAACTGCAGCAAAAAAATCCATATTGGAGGGGTAGAAAGGCAATTTTTTTTCATCTGCAAGGTTTCACTAGTTGGACTACTTTTACTACAAACCCAAATGCAGTAGAATCTGGAAAACAGATCCTTAGAAGTTAATGGTGTTTGAATTCTCATAAGACGCTGCACATGAGCAGTGAATGCAGACTGGGTACAGTGTAAATGGTAAATGGACTGAACTTGTATAGCGCCTTTCTAGTCTTCTGACCACTCAAAGCGCTTTAACACTACATGACATCATTCACCCATTCATACGCTGATGACAGGATAACCATACACAGTGACACCTGCACATCAGTAACTACCATTCACACACTGTAGTCGCAGCTACGGGAGCAACGTTGGGGTTAAGTGTCTTGCCCTTAGCAGAGCCTGGGATCGAACCGACAAGCTTCTGATTGGAGGACGACCGTGCTCCCCACTCACCCACAGTCGCCAGTGTACCATCTATAAGTGGTGATCTGGTTTGCATTATCAAGCAGGAGCCCGACGGCATCACGTCTTTGCATGACGGAGAACACCGTGATGTTCACCATCCTCTCTGTCCTGAGATGAGTGTTGAAAGGCTCACAGCATTGCTGTACTGGACGTGCTGACCGTACCGACGTGTAGAGGTAGCCCTCGCTGTTCATGGCAACGTAAAGCCCGGTCTTGGTGCTCTGGATGGCCACTATCCTGAGCCCCACAGGAATCAAGTTGAACTGCACTGAAAGAACAAAACAGAGAAGGGAGGACTGGGGTTAGAGCAATCATTCTCTCCCCTAAACGCTCACAGTGCTTCCTAAAAGGATCCGTCTGCTATTTCCTCCTCAATGATGTACAGTGTCTGTCAGAAGAGAGGAAAGTGTGTGGGAAAAGGAAAGAGGGGGGGGGGGGGGTTAGGAGCGGGAGATTTAGGTGCTATAAAGTGTGGTTGTTGGCACAGCAGAGGTCAGACAAAGCTGGGAGAGACTGTACAGAGAGAGAGAGAGAGAGACCATAGTTGGGTGTTTTAAGAATTCAGTGCCTTGAATTAATTCCCCTGCACAGTGAACACCACTTTCTCTGGAACCTTGGATATCTTATGTGCATAGCTTTCCATATAAACTAACTTCAGCCACTGGAGCAGCGCACACACAGGGCTGTACATCTACTCTCTGAAGTGGGTTTGCCTGCGTGTCATTCGTCTGCATGTACAGATATGTTACTGGACACGTCGGTGTGTGCACACGTATCCCTCTCAGTCCAAAGGTGCTTTATAAGAAGCGACATGGTGAGTTGAGTGCTACTGACAAAACGCCAGCTGCTCTGTGGTCACATGGTCGTGATGACCATGGGCTGCCGTGACAATTAAAGGTCCTGAAGCATTTGGATTAGATCTGCAATGAGAGAGGCTCTGAAGGCTGAAGAACAGCAACTGTGGAGTTATTACAATGAATATTTCAATGTTTTGAGAAAGATACTTATTACGTATGACAAGTAATTATTTGGGAGTAATGTGCTTTTCATTAAATATTGTTTGATTTTTGTTTGGAGCATATGCTTTTTCTTTTGCAAGAATGAATTATAAAAGTGACAGAGCGGTTGTCAAAATGATTGATCTCAGGAGCTCGTTTTAGATTCATGAAGGCATTAGCTGCTATTAAAAAAATCTATTTCAAATCAAAAATTCAACATTCAAATATAGTAGATGGAATTTAATCAGATGGAGGTAGAAAGCCAAAACTTAACCAAACCCAACCCTTGTCTGAACTACTGACTGGAATTATTTCAGCAAACTTTATTGATCTTTTTTGTTGTCAGAATTGACATGAAACAGGAAGGATGTCCGCTGGCCAGCCCTTCGCCATAAATGACCCAAAAGTGTTAATAGTGATGCATGTCCAGTTCCACGTTGCAGAAGCAGGTAATGAAAACTGCACATGCTTCTCCCCCTCCTCCCTCTCTCCCTCCCTCACCCTCAGGACGCTGCTTCTATTTGCTCGATCGATCCCCTGCATCTCAAACAGTCGCTTTCGCAAATGAACAAAGTGTCACCAAAGACCGCGGCCGGGATGACAAACAGAGCAGAACACCCTCCCTCCTCCCCCCGTTAACAGCAGCCTACCTGTGGGGCTGCTGAGCAAACTTAAGGTTCTTGTTGTAAAGGCCAGCTGGAGGAAAGGCTCCGTACATGTTCGCATATTCAGCCAGGTAGCCTTTAAAGTTTTCATACAGAGTTCTGAATGTCTGTGGTCATATTCTCATTTTCCCCTCATCCTTCTCTCTCCTTCACTTAGACTCGCTTCTTTTCTCTGCAACTCACAGAGGAGGTCGGTGGATTAATCAAAACGGACGGGTGGGGAGGGGAAATGAAGGGGGAGGTAGGAGGGTGTTGCCAAATCAATCCCGCAAGTCAATTTGAGGCTTGAGATCATCAACACAATAAATAAACAAGGAGAAAGTGGAGATGGGATCGGGGGGGGTTGGCTGGGGGGGTAATAGCAGGACACAGAGTTAAGCTGTGCAGAGGGCATCTGCAGGCCTGCACGCTATTGTGGAGCACGGTTGGTCTCTACTGGAATGAGAAGAGATTCAAAGTCATCGGTGAGGAGCCACACGGAGTCGGACCTCTGGACGGGAACCAGTCGGGTCCTTACCTCCTCTCCTGCTCCATGGGAGCCGACTTGGACGAAAGCATTAACGTTTTATGGTAACAATGTGTTGAGTGAGAGCGTCCTGTGAACTGAGCGGTCACCAAACCGACCAGAATCCTCGAGCTGAAGTGAATCATCACGGTCGGTGATGGGGTCAGCGATCAAAAACTAAACACACACAACGGCATTCTGGATTTACAGTGAAGACAAAAAACGATTTGGTCGTTGGACCGGCCCGTTAAACTATTATCCGCCAGCAACCCCTTTATATCGCAGATTACCACGTGCATGGATGCCTCTGATGGCCGTAGTAGTCATTACAGAGGGAGGAAGTCGGTTATGCAATATAGAGAGACAAGGTCCACAAAGGGAGCAGGCCGGGGACGGATGGATGGTTGAATCCGCTGTTGACTTATATAACATTACATTACACGTCATTTAGCTGACGCTTTTATCCAAAGTGACTTATAAACATACGTTGTCACACAATTCACCATATCATCGTTTCATTTCATCTTCACTGCATGTTATCTCCTGTCATTTCAGATCCTCCCACATCATCAGCTCATTACCCTCACCTGGTTCGCCCTCACCTGAAGCACATCCCCTCATCAGCCACTCACTATTTAAGCCCTCACATTCGTTTGTTCCCTGCCAGATTGTCTTGTGTGTTTTACCGAGTTTTCCAGCGGTTTCCCAGTTACTCCGATTTATCCCTGTTTTGAAGCCTGCCTGCCTTTCGACCCCAGATTCTCTGCCTCCCTGATTGCCACCCTGGTTCTGACCCCTGCCTGTTCCCGTCTATGGATTCCCTGCCTGCCTCTCTCAGATTTGTTTGCCTACTGACGGATCTCCTGGTTTTGACCTTGCCTGACCTGTTGATTGAATCTACCAGTCCCTCCCATCTTGGTCTCGTGCTTTTGGGTTCCATTGGGCACCGGTACCAGTAACCGTGACATACTTAACTTTGGACATTAATAACATGCTCACCTTCAAAACATCACTTAAGTAATGAACCCAACACAAACATTTTAATTTCCATGGATTTTAAATTTCCTTAATCTACCAAGATACTCCTAAATTTGATACTACCTACTACCTTACGTACTACTTTACATGATGAAAAATGGCACCAAAGGGCCTGGACTGTTAAAGAGGGGCATCCAAGGGATGCCTAACCCACATGTGATGAATTGATGACATGGTAATGAATCAGTGCGGCGCCTGAGCGATTACAAACAAAGTTAAAAATAAAACCATTTTCATTCATTTGTGTTGTAAAAAATGAGCGCGAGACTCAATAGTAGATTAAATGACTGGACGAAGAGCTTTACGCCTGATTTCCCTCGTGGTCGATGAATCTGATGACAAGACAACTCCTTCCTCTCTCCTGTTATTTAACTTGTAGCTCCGCCCCCCCGGGGCCTCGCTCTCCTTCACGGGTCCCTGGGAGCCCTTATCTGTCTTCCTCCAAGTCCACCCGTCTCCTCTACTCCTCTCTTAACACGGAGCGGTTGAACTAACAACCTTTGTCTCATCTCTCACACTCTCCACGTTTATTTATCCCTATTTAGTTCCCTTTAAATTTCCCGATTGCCTGCTGTTGTCGTCTCCGGCCTGTGTAACAGATACTTCTCCATCAGCGTCCATTCATCGTTGTCCTATTTTACCCTGCAGCCTTCTCTGCCTGTCTCTTTGCCTCACTCTCTTCCCATCTCTGCCTCCTCCATCCTCGTCGGGTATTCTTCCTCAACTCTGGTTCTCTTTTACCCCCCCCCCCATCCCCCTCCCCATTTGGCTGAGACAGCGGCTGCTTTCAATATTCACATTTCTTATTCCTTGAATACACAGAGCAAGGCTTCCCCCCCTCATCTTTCCTTTCGGCTCTTTGAATTCCTTTCTCTGTGCCCTCTGTGAGGCAGTGCTATCGAGCACCGGGGGAAGTTAGACAGCGAGAAAGAGCAGACGTCTTCCAGAGCAGAGAAGGAGATAAGTCATATTTCCCTCTAACAGTGGGAGATTGTAATTACAGAGGATAAATCAAGCTCCGCGCACACAGAGTCGATAGCTTGTATCCCTTTCCGTCACATCTTTCCTCCTTTTTTCCCTCCTCTTCTCTCCTCTGTCAAATAGTCTGTCTTGCTGTATCATCCTAGGGTTTTTACTCTCTTCCTCCACAAATTCCGCAAAATTCAAGAGAGAGACCAAATCAGACCAGCCTCTCCATCCGTCCTTGCTGCATTTATTCTCCTCTATTTATTCTTTCCTTTCTTTCGGGTATTTTTTTTTTATCTTCCTTTAGCAGCTTTGAAATCCGTTTTCTAATCGATCTGTTTAGTGCGCGGACCATTTCGAACCCATCGTCTGTCCTTGACTCACCTTTGTTGTTGTTATTATATCTGTCTGGATGTTACAAGCCAAAACTCATATAACTATATAAATACATATTAGCTAAGGACATGTTTTTTTCAAAAAGTTAACTCTCCATATTATTTAATCATAAATACTTGACATAAAACAACAATATAACTGGCAATAAGCATTTGTTTTTTTCAGAATTTACTGTGCTGTCATTCTTTTAAAATGTGAAATAAAACGTCAAATAATCAACATTTCTAAATATGTTCCATAACGTGTTGCTCCATTTTGGGTTTTTTTTGGACTTAACCGACCATGAGACCGATGTTTCCAATAAAGAAAGTGAGTTTGTAAAGTCACAGAATTTTGATCCCCCCAAAAATGTCCTCCAAAATATGAGTGCAGAGAATGTCATGGAAGATGATAAATTTTGCCATTAAGTCAAATCTCTCCAATCCAACTGCATTTAACATCCAAACAGATTGGACATCCACATAAAAGGTGGCACGTATCTATCAAGTCTCTGCATTTCACTATTGGCTGCAATGAAAAGAAACTTAGCAGCTTAAATGATAAGAAAATAAACTCAAAAACAGTTCTTAGCAGAATGGTGTGATTCATATATTTAGGCAAACACAGCAGAGTCCTTTGATGGCACATTCTGCCCAATACATGAATATGAATCTCAACGTCGCCGTTGCTTTCAACCATCTTTGTTTTATTACATAACAGCTTGGAAAAGCCAAGAGCAGAGAAGGAGAGGAGCAGGGAGGGAGGAGGGGGTGGCAGCTCCTCTGACCTCCCACCAGAGGGGGGAGACACAGTGATGGAGGAGCCACCAGCTGTGAGCCAGCTGCTGCTACTGCTGCCCAACGCTACCTCCCCTCTCTCTCCCTTTTCTCTCTGTCATCCTCACATTTCTCCCCTGCCTCTCACTCCCTCTGCCAACCCGTCTTGTCTTGCTGGCTCAGTTTCCTCTGACGTATTCCAACGTTCCCTCCTTCGGTTTCGCCGCTCCTCTCTGATTCTCCGCTTCGTTCCTTTTGTCTTTTTTTTTTTTGTTTCAACTTTTTTTTTCTCTGACATTTGTCATTTCTCAGCTTTGTAACAACTTTCCATATGGCCTAGTTATGAAAGCATGAACAAAAAAGGGCGATGAAAATATTGGCCATTAAAAGAAAACACGTGTCATTTTTTGTTCGGGAACGTCTCCTTTGCGGTTTCCGTCCCTACGGCATCCTCTTTGGGGGTGAAGCTGCTGTGATGTCAGGTATCCGGGATAGAGAAGTAACAAGAGGCGGTGGGAGGGTCATCAAGTCATCCTGCGTGACCCGCGCATCACTCCCGCTCCATGCAGGGCATTCGGTCGGTGTTGGAGGGGTGATGAAGCCGAGGAGAGGGCTGCGATCCCGGGTCTTTGAAAGGTCAACTGTACTTTGGAGATGATTGGCCTTTCGCAAGTAATTGCGCATAACTGAGAAGGTGTGAGCTGTGTGCTCCAGTTTTTGTTCCGATCAGTACCCTACATTCAGCCAAGGACTCTGTTGGTATGAATCACACTGTTCGTTATTTATTCCATTTTACTGCTGAAGTGGCCTATTTCTTTGGTCTTCTCTGCACACCAGCAATGCCATTAATCGTAGGAAATTAAATATGTCATTTCATGCGTGTTGAAAACCATGGTGCGAGGCTGGAATACCGACTTGATAAGTGGCAACTGCCCAAGACCTCAAGGGGCTTGAAATGCCCCGATTTTATTATGTGGTGCTTTATGGTAATATGATTAATCATAAATGAATGTGGGAATACCATAAAAGATCTGGTATGAACTGAACTGACATGACGTGAGGGCTTGTTTTATTGCGTTAAATCTGTCATTTCAAATGATCATCTAGTTTTTCCACACATGCATTTCAGCTGATATCTCTGCTCACAAGGTGCATTTTCCTTCATACAATATCAAATTCCCACCGGTCAGTGTGGTCACAATGCATGCATTGAGGGAGGGGGAGGTGGTCAGTGAGCATCACATTTTGTCCATCGACTTTGGACACAAGATGTTTCCTCTTGTTGTATAAAGCAGTAAAAGAGGGGAAAAGGACGTGCAGTGAATTGAAGCGGACTGGTCCCAGGCCAGTTTGCATGTTACTAGAATGTCCGCTGCCAGGGAGACGGCGAGCATGTTCTCTACTGTATGCAGTCAAGTAGATGATTGCGCTGCTGATTGATACTCGAGTGTCGATCACTCAGCGATTCCTGCGCGAAGGCGTAAAAAAGCCGCCTTGGATAACACGTTTTACGTCGCTCGCCCGCCAGCCGCCCCGACGCCGCCCCCCTTGATAATGCAAAGAGCCCCAGGCTGGCATTAAAGCAGATCCCCGGAATTGATGGATTTAGACTTGAGGCATAAGTCAGGCCCGCGCGGACGCTTTGCGGGGTGACCTCCACTGACGGATGTTCACTATCCCGACACACCAGCAGCGCGCTGTTACGCAACAGAAGTCCCCGCTTCCGAGCCCCGCCTGCCATTTGGATGTGCCCTACGGTATTATGTGACCAATATTTCTGGTGGGACATGAGAACGTTTAAAGTTCACAGGGCCGCGATGTTTGCCTCGGTGTAGGTGTGCCGTTACACATGAGGGAGAAGTGAAGGTCGTCGTGGGCTTAATTCAAACCCACTTATTGTCATACAGAAATATTGTCTTTTAGATAGCTGTATGGGAAGTGTTTCACTTGTTTTAATCAAAATGGAACGCGCAAACACAACTGTCTGAGTCACATTAAACGTATCGATGGGAAATGTCTCCAGGTTAAATCCAAGTTGCAAGCTGTTAACACTGCTGCGCTTTCCACAACTACTGATACCCCAACAAAATGCTGAAATATAAACTTTGCAAAGGGAACCACAGGCAAAAGAGTCAGTGTGAGTGTTTTTTCAAAATTTTGCAAACTTCATGTTTTCTATCCAAAATGGGGTTTTGACAGAAAAAGAAATGCTGTGTTGCCACATCAGGGATGTCCTTTAATACAATATTGATCTCTTTGGGAGGGTTGGAAGGAGTTCAGGAGATCTGACATGGTTGCTCAGTAATTACCCAGGTGAACACCCCTCCTAGAGTTAGGTGTGTGTTGACCAGGTTGTGCTGTTTGTGTGTCCGTGTACATCTAGAGACTCAGCAACAGAAGACCACAGCAGCTTATTGTACTAATGGGCAGTAAGCCTTGATTCAGATCCTCAGAGGATTCTCTATTGTCATTGAATTCATTTAAAATACTGCAGTTACAAGTTGAAGGCATAAAGTTACCACAAAATAGTACACTATGAACATGAGATAATGGGGATAGAGAAGATTAAAACAATTACAAGAGATTAAGATAGCGTGCAGTCATTCTAAAACAAGCATGGTACTGTGATGCTGGATTCTGATCAGATACAGGACGTTTAAGGTGGAGATAGGCAGATACATGATACCTAAACGTCTGATTGTTCACTCACAAAAGGAGCTGCTTTCGTCCTTTGTGCCTTCCATGGTGCCATCCGGCAGCATCTGGAGGTAGAAACCGTGTCTGCAGTAAAGCCGTGTGACGATGCCCTTCAGCTGGGGCTCTGCAGAGAAAGCACAGGGTTACACACATGTTAGCAACCTAGGATCACACACACACACACAGCGGTCAATGCACCTTTATTAATGGGCACCCTTACCTAAGGGTATGCACATTGACTAAACAAGAGGCAGGTCTTGATATTCGCAAAGTGGAATAGTCAAACAGTGAAGTGTGTGTGCTTGAAAGTGTGTGTGGATTGATGGGACCCTGCTCGAGAGAAGCATTTTTCATTTTTTTGTGTGTGTGTGTGTTCAGACCAATGCACTCGTCTGTAGACCTACAATAGCGCGACCACCTCAAAGGTGCGAGGCCCCTCAACAAAACAAGGCTCGCGCCTGTGAACGATAAGTGACACAAGAGGGCGGAGCTTAGCGCATCCGAACATAGAATACGTTTTTACGCTACCAAAATGTTTGTGAAGAAACACTGCAAAATGGGACAACTTCCAGATCTGACAACGGCGTGCTATCATCTTGCTTTATGGTTCATTTTACTCAAAATGTCCATCATTTACTAAATGGAAATCATGCTGTTTTGAAGTACGACCCTTTCCTCCCTCCTGCTCGGCAGCGATGGCAAAGACATGGGGAGTTGTCATTATTTGATTTTTAAAAAGGGCGTAAATGTATTTTTACAGTAAGAAAGCGTATTGCTCGTATCAGTTATTTTCACATGTATTCGTTTTGGTTAAAGAGATAGAATTTTCGAGTTTCTTTACCTGTTAGCAGGTTGTGATCATTTAACATGGGTAAATCCTTTGCAGTGGCTCCCTAGAAATATGAACCCTCGAGCACCCTGTAATCTAAGCCCAGCTGTGCACACACAAATCTCCATTTCCTGCATGTAAGAAAGCAAAAGCTCAGGAAACAAACAAGAACAACTGAACCAACATACTGAAAGTTTAATGAACCTTCTCCCGTCATCGGTTTACTTTGCTCCCCGATACCAACTGTCGTCGGCCGTCACGCTCCCATGATTAAATCTAACTTGGATGCAGAGAGACTTTGGCGATTCTTCCTCAAAACTCACGTTTGTGTCACGCGCGTTTCTTTCCTCGGGCCGCACACGCGTGTGACTGACGGGGGGCTATTTCCCTCCGATGTGCTGAGGGAGGCTAAATAGTGGATCAGAAGGAATGTCGGAATGCTCAAGTGTTTCTACCATCAAGTTTTAATGAGATGCATCAAACATGGATGAGGACAGAGAAGTACGGGGGCAGCTGGCAGTTGGCCTTTGGTTGACAGCAGCGGTGAGAGACAGAGAGAGAGGGAGAGAGAGATGCACTGCAAAAAGTATCTTCCCGAACTTCAACGCTCATAAACGTAGATGGAAAACATTCCGATTTGTCTTGTTACTCACATGTGCTGTAACTCTTCCACAGCCACCCTTTTCCTTAACGAGTACTGACTTGCATTTGCAGTGAAAAGTGAAAATACATTAATTTACAGTTTCAGACTCTAAGACTTGAGACACGACTTAGATTGTCCCTTTTCATCATTGTAAATTGAATTTGAACGCAAGGGACTATCAGAAGCTGTGAGATACGTCCAATGATACCTCTGAATTTGTCTGATGCCTTAAGTAGAGCCTCCCCGACTGGTAAATGCCAACGTCCTTCAACGTGATGCTCAGAAGCCGCTTGCAGAGGACGTTACACCTCTGTTTCTTTTGCTTTTTACAGAAGCTGACGAGTTGTCAAGTATATATTCTAAAGCTAAACGATCCTTCTGCAAACCTCCAGAAGTTGCTGAATTGAAGCTCATTAGGACTTGAGATCGACCTTGATGTCTGTGAATTAGTCGAGGGAATGCTGGTGTGTAATCCCCCCCTTTTGTTGCTGACAGAACATGTTTGGAAGCTTTTCATTGGAGGTTCTGGCCTCAGCATCCCAGATTGAGATGCTGTAGCTACTGAAGAGATAAAATCTCCTCCATCCATCGCTGGCGGACCAGACACAGAAGGTCAAACGTTGACTGTTCTGTAATAGCCTGAGTGTTAATCCCAAATTAAGCCTCAGACCAGTGTGTGTTTAACACATCTGCCACAGAGCAACAAACGCACAGAAACAGGCTGAGGTAGACCTTTAGCTCCATCCCAGTTGGATGAGAACGCTGTGATCCAAAACACGACGAGACCCAGAAGTCGTTCAGACGAGGAAACTTTAATAATGTGGAAGTAACGAGGCCGAGATGAGGCCTTTGTGAAATTCCCGCAGGTAGTCAGTTCACCTCAGCGGCTTTGGAGTACACCGAGGACTTGTTATTTGTGTTTTCATTTAGCCAGCATTTATATTCTGGATTATTATACTTATCTACACTTATTGTACTTTTAAACGCTCTGTCTTCCGACTGCGTCGACACAAATGCAGTCGGACCCCCGAGAGAACAGATGGGCGGCTTCACTGGCGCACGGCGGATGAATTATGGCCACCGTAGTTTGTTATAACGATCAGGATACAAAAATCGTTGATAGTAACTAAATACTGTGGACTATACGGCCGCAGCGCTGGTCATTAGTGGGAGTGGGGGAGAGAGGGAGAGCCCTCGCTCTGCTGGTTCCCCTCGACTAGCGGAACAAGCTCCCTCAGTGTTTATAGCGTCCACAGCACTAAAGCTTGAAAACTTAATGGGAGAGAATCGGCATCTTGGTGCATCACTGCACCTAAAATTGATCACAGCTCACAGAGCTGCTGGTCCGGTTTAGGAGGCAACGCTGCCTAGAAAATGAGATCAGAGGTACCACCTCTACTGGACTCTAACGTTGGGTAGAGGAACAGCTGAGATGTGTAAGTCCAGCACACAGTATGGAATTCAGACACAGAATCAGTTTTTTTTATCTCAAAGTACTTCATGTTCAGTTGATTTCACCTAATAACATCAACATTAAACTGCAGGAACCAACTACTAGCAGCTAACAGCTAGGCAGTCCTTTGTGTCGTGAGAATGTCGACATGTTTAGAAGGCAGACACATTTGAAATGCACGACAAAACAAATGAGACTGAAACTGACTAGTCAAAAGATTAAACTATACTCATTACATCAAAAGACCAAATCTATTTCAAGTGCCAGAAATGAGACCGGCGCTGCTTTCTTCCATTCGTGAAAAAATCTAAAAAATTCAAAATTCATCAAGTCATTACATCCTGGAGGCTGGGCGACGGAGCTTCAGGTTCTCACAGGTGCATGCAGGTTCATCTCTAGTCTGTGCCAAGTGTTTTTTGCGCCCCCAAAAAGAGAAAATTTGAACTTATCTGTTCCTGGCTCAGCCAGTTGGACAAACGGCACTACAGTGTAATTCTCTCTAATCAAATATAGCACTGTGGGCAGATTCCCAGTTGGTTTCTGCAACTTAACATGCTGTGGTTCTGCACACCGGTCCCAGAAACACTGCTCAGCTTTCCCCAGAGTTAATAAGCTTGTTACTCCCCACTGACTCCAATATCATCCAGCAGATTTGACTATTGCTAGTATTCCATCTCGCAGCATTCACTGCATCCAATCGCTTGGCGGCAGCCACAAAACCAATAACACGTCCTGTTTAGAAATGAGCACGAGTGAAGTATGCCATGTAGATCCTTTTCATACCACAGTCAAGCTTTTTTGTATTATTTACACGCTTCCCTAAAGCTGAAAGAAAATCGGGATTCAGGGTGAGAAGGCAACGTGTGAGTCGCTCATATTTTCATATTTCACCATTCATATTAAGTCCACTGCTAAATTGCATGAAATTAGGGGCTCACCGTGGCCGCAGTTGACAGTGAATAATGGGCATAAAGGCGGGGAGAGCCTACAAGGTAATGGCTATATTTACAAGGCCCATCAATCATCTGCAAACCGCCAGTAGCCTCATCCCTCATAGGAGGGAGAGGGAGAAAGGGGCGGGACGCCTCCAAGACAAGCTGCTTCTTCCTTCTCAATAAGAATTACGCAAAATGACATAAGTTTGAACGTTGTGACTGACTGAGAAGAAGTAGCCAAAGAACAGCAGGTAGTTGTATCGGCTTCGGGAATGGCTAAAGTTGAGAATAAAAAGAAGTGTTAAGTAAAGAAAGATCGACATTTGTGAAAATCCAATTATGACACGTGGAAAGATGTATTCTGTGAAAGAGTTGAATGGTGCCACACAAATAGCAATAGAGTATAAACTGTGGAGACAAGAAGAATAGACCAATAAAAGGTGTGTTTGTAAAAGCCTTGGATAGACGTGAAATACACACTCATCTATCTACACCAGCCCTTAACTTAAGACACCGCAAACAACCACGGATTCGTTCTGCTGAAAGTAACACGGTTAGTAGACATCGGCTCACAGCAACTGTAATGGACGCGCTGCTGGATAGAGAAACACATGGAGCGGATTTGTCTTCATTCATGTGGACCTCAGGGATCTGGCTGCAACAATATTGTGTATGTGTTCAAGGGTAACAATTAACATTTTGTAAAACTCGTGGTTGTGATTAATACTGTCTGCTTTTTAATTGTATGACAGAGTGGGGAACTACGAAGCCATGGTATGAATATGCATATATCATATAATGTATGTATCATGTCCCAGATACGTCGTGTAGCCCTTCATTCAGCCACTGTGGTAAAGATGTTCTATCTCTGTCAAAGGTCACCTTTGAGTCCTGTGGAGACTGTAGGTATAAAGACCTAAATGATTTCAACACGTTCATTCTTGCAAGAAGTAGCACGCAGTCCACAAAGTTGCACCAACACCATGTAGATAAAATAGAGCAGATCTATATACAGCAATGATACAAAATAATTTGATTATATAACAAACTGACGGCAACATTTTGCCAGAATTAGATTAATTGGTGTGGAATATTTCCAGTTTTTTTATCAATATAAACATACACCAGAATTTGTGATCTCAAAAAAGTGACCCATCAGAAGAAAAAAAGAAAAAGCAATTGAATAAAAGTGACACAGCACGCACACAGGAATAGGTCAGGGAGACGTTGGATTAATTAGAAAAGCAACGAGTGAACTTTTCCA